GAGAAAAAGCATCACACAAAGGCCTCAGGGTCTCATTCATCAGCCACATAAAAGCCTGTGAGATGCTTAAGAAGCAGAACACTGTGCTCCCAGGTGTCTGGGAAACTGAGGCTCTGCAGCAGGGGCACCTCAGCAACCAGGAGAGGGAACGGCAGTTTATCTTCTGACTGCTGTGCACAGCCTGGCTGTGCCTGCATCTGGAGGCACACTGGTCAGCGCAGCCTATGCCAGGCCCTGGAGCTGGGACCTCCGGGCCCCTGGCACAGCCGCAGTGCCGCACAGCAGGAAGGCAGCAGCCAGTGAGCCCACAGCAGGGCAGCACTGGGCCCCATCACAGCCAGGGGAGCTGCAGCTCACTATCTTGTGAAAGGCACACATAGAAATACAGTTAACTGAAACACACAAAACAAAACAGAACCAAAAAACACGGTGAGGGGAGGGGAGGTACCGGACAGTGCGCCTGGTTATTATCTTGTTAAGTGGCAGAGGGAAGTTTCCATCTGCTTTATATACTGCTAAGCAAAAATCACCTAGGACCAAGGGAAAGTAAGTCAGGGGAAATCAAATGAAAATGCATTCACTTTTAGGAAGCAGATGAACATCTGGCCTATCCAAAGACAATCAGGTAGAAAGATAAAAAAGAAGCGAGGAGGTATGAAAATGCAAACTCTGAAGTAAGGCAGCAGATGTTAAGTTCTAGTACTGAAGTGGCTAAAGTAATCGTGAACTGACTGAACTCTCCAGTTAACTGACAAAAACTCACTCCCAGGTTAGGATGGGACAGACACTGGAACAAAAGACAGGATTGGCTGAAAATAAAGATATAGAGAAAAAAAAAGCAAATATAAAAGAAGGCCAGAACTTAAGTTTTACCATAAGACAACATAGATTTAGGGGAAAAACGTATCAGAAGGGATAAGAGATATGCTACAATCAATCAAAAAGGTATAATAGTCCTGAACATATATACAGCTAGCATCAAAGATTTAAGGGATAAAACTACAACTGATAGAATTATAGGGAGGAACACATGACTGCAGCTGGTCATTTGAACACACGATTTACAGAACTGGTAGATCAGGCAGACAAATCTAAGTCATACTACAGGAAAAATGCATGTGTGTATTTGTATTACTAATCTTACATATTAAAATGTATATTAAATATATATTGAAATCTATATTAAAATACACATTAATCATATATGTTAAATATATATAAATGTCAGACCCAAATATAGTGTATGTGTGGTTTTCATATTTTCTAGAAATAGTAAAACAAAACTGTTTTTGAATCAAGTTATAAAAAAGTCTCAAAATTCGTAAATGATAGCAATTATATGGAATACGTTTTCTGATTAGCATGTAATAAAGTTAAAGTCCAATAAAATCTAGCAAAATAAATGTTGATATGCCTTAAAAATAAAAAAATGCAATTCAATACTTCTTATTTTAAAGAGGAAAACACAAGAGAAATTATCTATCAATGACAATGATACTCTACATGTAAAAACTTGTGACATATAGCTTATGCAAGAATCAGAAAAGAATCATAGCTTTAATTATCATGATGCAAGAGTAATTAAAAATAAATGTACTAACTGCAATTCATCAAAAACAAGAAAGGAAGGAAAATATATTGATAGGAAACAATCAAATAATGCTTTTTTAATTAAAAAAATAAATTATTAGGAATGTCAAATTTATCATGAAAGATAAAATCCTGAAATTAAGAAAAAGGTTAAGACATTAAAATAAAGAATATTGAAATGGTAATTAATTATAGTTATAAAATGTCAATACCTATAAAATCATTTCATAAAAATATGCTAACACATACACAAAGCCTAAAGGAAATATTCAAATTTCTTTAAAAATTCAAAAATACCAATATTGGCCTGCTTAGATGGAAAACTTAAGTTAAAAATCATTATTATAAAAGGTATTTAAAATCTTCCTCCACAGATACACAGATGGTTTATGGCTAAGTAGTAACAAACTTTTGAGAACAGGAATTTCTACCTTATGTAAATCCTTACGTCTCTTTTATAAAAGCCATTTCTGCAAACAGGACAATCGTCTTTACATTGCAGGTCATAGGTTCTTTTCGACAGCTGTTGACTGACCCACTCTGGTTACGTTTTCTATCCCTTACCAGTTGGACGTTCATTTAGCTAACAGTGGGATCAGACACGCAGACCTGACTTCAACGTATACCCCATATTCTTGGATTGAAAGAGCCAGTGTAATAAAAATGTCAGTTCTCTGCAAATTAATTTACAGGGCAATGTAATTACAATAAAAATTGCAAGGGAATTGTTCAAGGAAATTAAATTAACAAAATGATTCAAATGTTTTTTTGAATAAGCTGAAAAGTGGAAGAGTATCTGAAGAGAAGAGTTAGATGGATCTGATTAGATCCATCAATGTTAATGTATATTTTAACAGTCCTGCCCTGAAGAAAAATGAAGAGATAGAACATAACGTGCAAGCCAAAAGCAGTGCAGAGCGTATAGGCACAGAGTCTGTAGATAACCATGTCGGCCCTCCAACCACAGGGCAATGGACAAAGGAGCATTTAATGAAAGGGCTGGCCAATCTGTCAGCTTTTTAGAAAAATTAAAATAGGCACCTGTCTTATACCACATAACAAATTCCAGCAATGCTTGATATCATTCATTCACTAAATATTTAAGTACTAACTCTATTGCAAGAACTGTGTGAGGACGGAACAGAACAAGTGGTGCTCACGTGTGGTAGGAAGACACACAATGCACAGAGGTAGAGCTGACGGAGAGAGTTTCAGTTCAGAGCATTTTCCTCAGGTACTGCAACAAGTCCTTTTGCTCAAAATGAAGTATTTAAGACAACTCTGTAACAGGAGACGTTATGACGAACTCAGAACAACGGGACCTCCATGCTCACCCCGGGCTGCATTATTCTGTGACATTCCCCGAGTGCTCTACACAGCGTGTTAACCACATAGATCTGAGACTGTGACAGTGGCAGTGTCCAAGCTCCAAGCACCACGAAAGAATGCCACACAGCTGAGACTCAGTGTCAATTTCCTGAAGCAGTTAATGTATTGATATGTTAAGTGCAAGAGAAGATCAGAGAACTACAAGTGCAATGTTGTGATAGTTGCCTGTTCTTGAGTTGGAGACAAGCCACCAACTGTTTAAAAACTAAAGTTAAAATGAAGCTGCAGAGTTGGTTATTCTGACTGAAAATAAATCAGCTATGTAATATGGAATGGATCCAGATAGTGCAGCTGTGTCCACCAGCATCAGTAGAATTTTTCTGTAAAGGGTCAGATAGCAAATAACTTAGGATATGCAGGCTATAGAGTCTCCTGCAACTACTCAACTTGTTGTTGCATCATGAAATCAGCCACAGACAACAAACAGATGGACACAGTTGTGTTCAAATAAAACTATATTTATCAAAAAGAGCAGTGGGCCAGATTGGCCAGTGTGTCATGGTTTGCCAGTCGCTGGTCTAGACCACAGTTGTCTGCACAATGGCCCAAACTTAGAACCATATTTATGTAGTGCTGAGTCCTTAGCTAATTTCAGAGCCTTAAGATACAACCTTCCACACATTATTTCTGCTTTTTTTAGTCTTTAGCTTCCATAACAGAAATGAGGACCCTTTGTCTAGCTCAGTCATCTAGTAAGGACCAGGAGCTTTCCCTACCTGGCAACATGAAAGACCTCAATTCTGATCTCTCCGATTCCAAAACTGATCTAAATTGGATTGAGAGCCACAACAACTCAATGAAATCAGCACCTAGATGACACCCTTCCCTCCTTCTCAGCCGCTTCCTGTAGGACTTTCCTTTGTCTCCAGTGTTCTTTGGTTTGAGAGATGGATTGGTGTTGTGGTGTTAACAGGTAAAGATGCTGCCTGTGATGCCAGCATCTCTCCGTGTGCAGTTTCATCTTTGAGCTGTTCCACTCCCAATCCAGTTCCCTGCTGATGTCCTGGGAAGAGCAGAGGAAGATGGCCCATGTACTTAGGACCCTGCCACCCACATGGGAGACCTGGAAGAAGCTCCTGACTCCTGGCTTCAACCAGGCTCAGGCCTGGCTATTGCAGCCATGTGAGGAGTGAACCAGCAGATCGAAGATGTCTCTCCCTGTCGCCTTTCCTCCCTCTCTGCTACTCTTTCAAATAAATCAATCAATCATTTTTTTTTACAAATGGAGAGGTTGTAAGTCATGACATACGGGTATATGTCTTCAACAAAGATGGACAGATAGTCCCCCAGAACTCTGAAGGAGTCTACGTGAGCATTAACGTGGAAGAAGAGTCTACATGGTCATCAGGGCACCCCCATAAGAGAAGGGCCGTGGCACCGGGGCATGGGGTCGCCACCACCCTTGCCTCCACAATGTGTTTGGTAGCAGTGGCTGCATCTTAAGCTTCCTCCAAAAAGGGACTTCCTTTCAATAGCTTTACTTATTAACCCCCAAGAAGGTGACAGCTTCCTGCTGTTGTCAGTCCCTATGCACTTCACCTTCCCTTACTAGGTCTATTAACACTGTTCAACGTCTGGTCATTAACCTCTCTCCAATTAAACTCTTTGGGTATGCCATCTGAGTCTTATTAGGACCCTGTCTATTTTAGGAAAAGAAAGAAAAATGAGCCTTTTTAGAAAAATCACAGCCTGAAGAAGGAAGCTCCTCAACAGGTACCGGAGCTTCTGTCGACCTGAAAAAATACCACTTGAATTCATCACCCAGTGGCACATCAAGTTATAGCTTGAAATCAGGAGCTGGATACATTGTCAAGCTGCCACTACGGCAAGAAATCAGCATTTCTATGAGTGATTTTAGAATGAGATCCACTTAAATTTTACTTTGGCGTTTGAGACTCAAGAAACTCTGTTATTAAAAAGCCTTCGTTTGATTATTCTCCATATATTATTCAAATAAAAAATGTATACTCAGAGACGGAACACGTGGGTACAGAGAAGCGTTTGGCCGATCCGTGGCTTACCTCTTTGAACTTGTGGCTGAGCTTGCTCGTGTCCAGGTCTGACGGGGAAAACACGTCTTCATTCTCAGGCAGCTCGAAGACCTCAATGGCCATGTCCCCGCCAGGAACCACGGGCCCTGCCTCGTCCTCCTCTTCATCTGTGGCATATTCCCCTGTCTGAAAGGAAGGGGGTTTCAGCAATCCGGCTGTCCTCATCCCAAGTGGAGATAGGTTATTTGAAAAATATTTTATGAAAGAGCAATGAAACGTGTCACCAAACAGTAAGAGTATTAAACCAAGCATGCTTCGTGCAGGCAATGTTATAAACAAAGGTTAGTTCAAAGATCCAAAGTGACAAGTCTGTGCCATACACAGGTGAACGTCTGAAAATCAGACACCATCAGCTGCATCTTTAGTATAGCAATGCGAGTTGCGTTCTTTCAATCCCAGTATTTGATGGTTTTGCTAAATAAAATTATGTTGCTAAGGGAAATGAGTAATTTCTTACAATTCCCATCTCCCGTGTGAATAAGCCACCAACACTGGAAGCAAAGGAACAAGGAGGCAGAGATCAAAGACCCGTAGAGTTGGAAAGGACCTTAATGAAACACTGCAGGTTAATTCTCCTAAGCTTGAGGGCTCACTCAGTCCTGCTTGTTTGTTAATTGCATAGTGATTGGCCATGAGTTGAGGGATAAACTGAAGGCCTCTCATCGGCAGTCGCACATGTGGACTGTTTTGCCAGAACAGCACTTTTACAAATCTATTTTGTTGATGGGGGGGGAGGGGGATTCTCACACAAAATGGTACATTTCCAGCCTTCTGAGAAAGCCAAGGATCTGTCCAGACATGCCCGTTGTGGTGTGGTAAGAATCGGCCGGAACTGGCGGTGGCTGTGCCTTTTAGCTGGGTCATGCCCTTCGTGACAGGCCACAGCCTCCCCAGCCCCGCGCTGCCCTGGGCTGCCCCGGGCAGTGAGCCTGCCTGCTTCCCAGGCCCCGGGCCCCAGGCCCCTGCAGGTATTGGAGTTCATGACCCCTGCAGTAAACGTGACTCTTTGCTGCTAACTTCCGGAACATTATTAGAAAGCAGCTCTTCTGGCACATCAGGCTGTGGGACGATAATTCAACATAATTGTTTTAAATCTTTACCTTATGATAGACTTTAAAGATAAATCACAGATTCACAGGGCTCCAAAGACAGGGTTCGTTTAATTCATGCCTTCCTTCAAGTCGGACTTTATCTAACACGTAAAACGCAGAGCAGAATTCCTACTGCTCTGAAAAAGAGCGCCGTGAACTGTACGTGCACTCCACAGCTCCAGCATCCGACTGCCGTTCTTCCTGTGGGTTTGCACCGTCTTCTTCCTGCTAGAGCTGAAGCGCTTTCTTTTTAAAATTATGTTTGCACATGAAGGAAATCTGGTCCTGATCCTCAATGCAATAACCCCTAATGTCTGGAAGGCCGTTAAGACACTGCCTTCAGACCTGCCTTTTCCAAACCAAACAATTCCAGCTTCCTCTGTGGGTCTGGACTGCTTTCTCTGTAATTGTCTCTGTGGCTGCTTGCTGATGTCTCTCCACTTTCTCCAAGCTGTGGAGCTGGGAGTCACACAGTTCCTCCTAAGGAAGTGAGAGCCACTGGCCGAGGAGGGCACACCACCTCAGCACCCTCCAGACTCCAACCTGGACTGGGGGCCGGGGGGTGGGTGGTCTTTGCACAGCCTAGGGTATCTTACGCACAGCAGTGGTTTTCCTAACTGCTTACAAGTGAGTGAACTGGTGCTTTGGTTTGTTTGTTTTAAACTGTTGTTCTTCCTCAAGTAAAATCAGCGATGCTTTTAACACTACCCCTTCTCCCTGACAGAAAAGAAATGAACCTTGACTAAACCCGAGTTGAAGATAACCAGGTGTTCCTGGAGATGGATGGGAGGCAGCTGACTGGACAGACACAGCTCAGCAGCTGACGCCTCTTTGCAGGAAGCGGCTGGTCCCCACGCAGCCACGGTCAGTTTTGAGGCACCTGTGCACAAGCTGCCGCTGGCCTCCCCTTCCCCTTTCTGATGCAGAAAACCAAACCCTTTTCTCATCAAACTGTTAACTCTCCACCTCCAAATGAACATGGAACGCAAGCAACACGCATGAGGTTCTACTGGACACGAACGCCTCCCCTTTAAACGATGTATAACCCTTCCCGAAGCTTCCCCAGCACTAAGTGAATGTATAGGACTCTCCGAAAAGCAAACTCTAAAACATGGAATCTTCCTTTTCTCTGGGGCCTGGTTTTTGGTTATGAGACAATCTTGCTCCTGGCTTGGGCACGCCAAAATAAATTATTTTCTGCTGACAGCTGAACCCGCTGTCTGCGTGTTTCCTCTGGTGTCTATGCTATGCAAGAACCCTGGGGGTTTCTGCACCGTTGCTCTTTGACTGCAAGGAAAGGAAGCTGGAGCCAGTGGTCTCCATGCTGGTCTGAGAGAGCTCCTCAGTTGCGGAACTCCAGGACTCCATGGAAACCAGGCTCCACCTACCACCCCAAGTGTCTGGCTCTGGCAGAGCAAAGTCCCTGACAGCTTGCTTGTTTGTACAGTGAGAAACCACCAACCTTAAAATTTGTTATGATCTTCGTGCAATTCTTTGAATTAATCCTCCTAATTCTACACACTTTTTATAGTCAGTAAGTACTTTGCAAATACCAGTGATGTTAATTAACAGGAACGTGGCAAGGCTGGGCAGCAAACAAACCTTGCGGAAAGCCTTCATGTGAGTATGAAACTGTGTGCCTGTGTTTAACCCTGGAAGTAAGACTAGTGGCAAAGGGAGACCTTTCCTGTAAAGGCTTACATCAGGTATGTAAAATTCAGTTCTTCATAATCAATTTGAGACATCACATGATTGACTCAATAAAACCTTAAACTAAATTTAAGGTCTGACTAAGCAATATTAGTGCGATACATTTAAAGCATGAGCAGAAATGAACAGCTTCATTTCCCTTTGCCAGGATGAAACAAATACGTGAGTACTCTGTGTGAGAGAATGGATGGGAGTACATGCCTAGGATGGGGCCTGCCGTGGAACAGGATCCAAACAAGTGTTCTTAATAAATCCAAGAACGACAACTGCATTTACTTAGTGCTCTCTAGAAGTTCCTGAGGGGTTTTCAAAATTATGACAGTGAACAGCAGTCATTTGTTAATAAGGCAGTATTCTGTCACACATATTCTTAACAGCCTTGCAGTGTAGGTATAACATAAGCAAATTCTTACCTCTAAGGGTAGACCTAGCTTTGTCACCCATATATACTTTATTGAAACTATCTTCATAAATCTGTTATAAAGAATTCTTCTTGATTCTTTTGTCAATTTCTTCTCCTTCCCAACACCCAAGTTTCTTATAATCCTGCTGAAATTCTTATCATTCATTTCATCTTTCTGCTTACAAATGTTTTCTCCTTCTGATTAGTCTTGTAAGCGTTCGGAGGACAAACTATGTCTTTTACTGTCCTGATTCTACTCATTGTTTATTATGAGCCATGGATAGGGTGCTCAGACTTTAAGCTGTCATTCTCTCTTGCTGAGCATCTGCCATTTCCAGCCTGAATAGGCTTTAGAATAACAGGTGCATTTATCACAGGACCTCATAAACATTTGGAAATAAGAAAAGTTACACTCAGTGGACTAAGAGTATTCGTTCACTTCTGATCCTTTTATCTTTGTTAAAAATGGAAACTTTTTGTGGTTATTCTGCAGGTAAAATAAATGACATAGAATGAATCGTTAGCAGAATGCTATAAACTCCCAAATTACTTCAGATCAAATCTTCAAGTTATACAGGAAGACAGAAAATGCTGCACCAAAATAAAATCGCTAGATCAACGTATTTCCAGCTAAGTTAAAAATCTTTCAAGGAGTTAGACTCTTGACATCCTTTTTTTCTCAACCTCCAAACTCATCTCGAATGTAGTGAGGATAGTTCTTATGGTAAAAACCAACATAGATTTTAAATGCTCCATTTCATGCTCTCCTCCACCTTCCTAACTAATGTCTCATATTCTTGATAGCTCCATAAAGGGGAGGAGGGGATTATTAATCTGTTTGCAAGTTACTGTGTGGCCAGCACTGTATATTCCTCAACAATGACACGCTCTGGGCGTTACTGTACTATCTCATTTGGAGTCAGCTCTGAGCCTCAGAGGTGCTACCGAAGGGTAGACAGTTAAGTTGTTGAGGATACTACATTAAACATATCCCAGAGCCCACACTGCCTTCTAGGCCATGCTGCTTCAGTATACTGAACCTGAAGTATCTTGGGGAGAAAGGGAATACATTCCTTCCCTGCTTCCCCTGGTACACAGTCCTGCTGTGTTGGGATTCGTCTTCCACGACGTTGAACATTATCATTCAGTTCTCTTGCACCTGTGTCTAGTGGAGCCCAACATTCCTGTGCTCTTCCCTCATAATACGCTCATCCTGGCCAAGGGCAAAGGAGGCCCCCTAGAGAGGATGGGGGCTAAGTACTGACTGCGTTAACTGCAACGGGAAGACAGGAATCATTGGGGAACAAGCAAATGCATGCACATACCGTTTCGTGTTACCTGGTCACAGAGGTATTCATGATTTTCCTATCTTTTAATTGCAGGGTCAAGTCTTCCTCTCATCTTGTGGGTCTGCTGGCTGATGCTTTATGAGTTCTTATAGAAAAAACCTACAACTATAACATACAATCCATACAACTGCTGTAAAGTCCTTAAAATGGCTGAAAAATAGCCTTGCGAGGAAATACAGGAGCACAGTTCATGTTTTTAGGATTTGGATTTGCCCCTATCTTTTGTACTTGCTTCTCACACCTGTTGAGCTACCAGTCTTTACTGACTCTTTGCTGTAAGATCCAGCTTACAGACACAGCAACTTCCTTGTCACTTTTGTTGCAAGAGGGCACTTGAAAGTTTATTACATGGCATAATTACAACCCCAAGAACAGCTGGCGGGTTCCGCCTCTTGGTGAACATATGACTTCTGGCTGCAGGAGGGCTACAGTCCGGAACACACGAGTTCTCTTTTTATCAGTCTGCATGTTTTCAGAAGGAACAGAGACTGCCTGTCATATTGGTGAGTTGGTTAAGAAGGATTCAACAAAACAATCCTGGTTTTGTAGGCACTTACACCCTATTCAAATCCT